TGACAAAATTGGGTCCATAATGGCCTTTTTTCTTTAGTCATAAATGACCCAGTGAGGCCCAGAGCTTAAAGGAATATGGTGAAACTCATATGTAACAAACATTCTGCTTTGTAAAAGCTTTGTTCTTTTAGGTTATTGCTAATGATTACACACTCCAGACATCCTGAGCATCATGGGAACAGAGATAAGAACTCTCTGGTTAGGAAAGTCTGAGATAACCGGCCTGTTGTTGTGAACAGGAATAATAAATGTTTAAAGATCATAGGGTGACAATGGCTATGCCACACAGATATTTTTGCCTTTATGTTTTATGATTCCCTTCTTCTCTAATTCACCCAAACAGTGACATCTTCCTCCTCTGTTAGAGAGAAAAACTCCTCCTTCTCTGCTTCGTCACATCAGGATCATCCTGTCTCTCTGTTCTTCTCTCCATCTGAGGGAGCATGACATACTTTTGTTTTCATTCCTTTGCCAATCCAGTGGCTCAAAAAGCTTTGAACATCAGCTCGGATAATTGTGGACTTACCAAAGGCAGAGGTGAGTCTGCTTATATTTTGTTGATATTAACCTTAAAATATACCTTTTTTTCCAGCAAATTAGAAAAAAAAAACAAAAAAAACATCAGAATTTAAATCTACCCCTTTTGAGAGTTTTATCATAGGAGAATCAAGTCAGGCCTACTTCAACTAGACAAAAAAGTGGACTCTAACTAAAAATCATCTCACTAAAAGCTTTGCTTTGGTAAGTGACTGACAGGATGTTAACCAAGTTTCTTTATTTAAAGATAAAATTGTTTAAATAAGATCTCTTCATTTAATAATTCAACAAAACCTGACTTGTTCATTAAGTGTTTTCAAAATCTCAAAAGTTGTTCAAACATCACACTTATATCATGTTATACATTTTGTTTTGATCAGTATTTTAGTTGAGCTGCACCCTAAAACACATTCCTCTAAGCTGAATTCCTAAGCAGCACTGATGTAAAAATATTCCAGCTGAACCAGTTTAACTGAGGATAGAAAACAAAGTTTAAAAACAGTAGATTAGTGGATGAGAAGTATCATATGTTCAACACACGAAAAAAAAAGCAAAATAGAATATTACTTGTCTGTTCATGAATTAATTGAAGTTTAATTTGTTTATTTCCACTAAATTTAAACTAACAGTGTTTCGCACATTAATGAAACTACTTGGGGCCAGAAAATCCCCTAAACATATGTTTATAAAACATCTTGTTCAGCACAAATAACCTCACTGCAAAGTTAACAGATATTTTTTAGAGTTTCTTGGTTCTGGTATTCACAGTGATTGGTGTCCAGATTCATCCTTTAATATTGGATCTTCAGGGCTGGATTTGTTTTCTGACTTTCTACATGCAGGCAGTCTGCCACCCAACTTTCCAACACTAATTATGTTGAAGAGCAAGACAAACCAGATCTTAACACTATTTTAGATCACCTTAGTGGGAAACAAGCTATCTCTTCTTCATCTCACCCATGTGACTTTTGTTGGGAGTTACCTTATGAAAAAATCAGCTCACATGATCACCTCAACAGCAGGAGTGTTTTGTTTCAGCATAACCCCTGCTGCTGTAGAGTCTGTCTTCTATGCTCTCAATCTGTTTTCTGGCTACAAAATCAGTCGTAAAGTTTGAGGAGGGGTGTGTGTTATTTTGCCCATTTCCGTGTCCTATTGAAATAGAGGAATAAAATAAAAGCCATATGATAAAATCCAAAGGGACTAAAACCCTGGCAGTCTGTATCATCAGTTTTTGTAAGGTTGGCTATGCTTCAAATTTGATTGCTTTCCTATCTTCTCTTAGTGATTCTTGACTTTCTTTAGGTGTTGAATTGTCATGATGCGATGGTTTTACTAGCCCAAATGCAGACTCACAGACACAGAGGGAGGATTAAAAGTCCAGAATTTATTGGAACCGGTTGACAGACTTGCAGGATGCAGGTTCAGACAGGCATGGTGGCACAGGTAAGACAACGATCCAGCACCGAGGGAAGTTCAGACTCAGCTTATATAGGGAGCTTCCTTAATCAGCAGATAGAAAACAGCTGATCCAAGCTGAGCCCAAACTCCCCAGGCATGGATCCACGGTGCCCTCTGGTGGGTAAACCCCTGGATCCTGACAGTCCCCCCCCCTCAAGGGCGGATTCCAGACGCCCCAAAGAAAAAATGGAGGGCGAAGGGCGAGCCAGGGATGCCAGGAAGAGTCTCAGGTGGCCGGCCATGAAACCGGCAGCAGAGCAGAGTCTCAGAAGCTGCAGGGGCCTTGGAGGAGGGCGTCACCTCCGCTTCAGCAGGAAGCACCGGGAGAAACACTGTGTCCGCTTCAGCAAGAAGCCCCGAGAAGGACGCCGTCTCCGCTCCCGCTGCTCTGCAACAGGTCCACCCACTACGGCTCCACATCCAGAGCAGAGGAAGCTGCCGACTGCGGCTCCGCATCCGGAACAGAGGAAGCCACCGATTGTGGCTCAACATCCGGAGTCTCTGGAAGGCGCAGAGCAGGCTCAGGGGTCTCCAGACGGCACAGAGCAGGCTCAGGGGTCTCCAGACGGCACAGAGCGGGCTCAGGGGTCTCCAGACGGCACAGAGCGGGCTCTCCAGGAGCGCGTAGAAGGAGTCTGCAGGGCTAGTCTTTTGGCTGGATAGTTCTGTCATGATGCAATGGTTTTACTAGCCCAAATGCAGACTCACAGACACAAAGGGAGGATTAAAAGTCCAATATTTATTGGAACTCACGGGAAACT